ACAGGAAAATACCCTGTGTTTAGAAACATTTAACGGCAGATTATATTGAAAAAGTGTTTTTGTTTTTTAAAATTATTGCAACACTCAAATTTATCATAACTGCAGCTTCTCACTTCCCCAGCCTAGGGCACGATTCACATGATATACTCGTCTTCTCGCGAGATCCACATGGTATGCTCGTCTTCTCCCGAGATTCACATGGTATGCTCGTCTTCTCGCGAGATTCATATGGTATGATCCTCTTCTCGCGAGAGTCACATGGTATGATCGTCTTCTCACGAGAGTCACATAGTACGCTTGTCTTCTCGCAGCCGGGTCCAGAGTAGAGGATCTCAGAGGCTATGGACTATGGTAGAAAGAACACCGGCTTTGGAGTGGAGCCTGGGGTGAATTGTGGGTGTTTGAAGCTTAACCTTCCTGAATCTCAGTTCTTACACTTGTAAAATGGGGGCAGTAATCCTTGCAGGATGGATGTGAGGATTAAGATAATGCAAGTAACGAACTAACTTATGCCTGATCCCTTCCCTGCCCACAAATTATTGGGCTGAAGATATTCTAGAAAGAATTCTCTCTCCCTAGATAGGGCTTCCGCATGGTTTTGCTCTATGGTTCCCCTCTGGGACTCTGTGGGCCTTAGCAGACTTGTGAAACCTTCATTTGGATCCAGCTCTCCTCTCCCCACGCGCTTCTCCCCTCGTAGACCTGAGTTGAGGCTTGGGGGCTCTTCCTTGCTCCAGAGGATTCCTTATTTGCGACTCAGACTTCATTTCCTTCGTCTCACCATTCTCCCCATCCCTGTGAGTTCCTAAGACCACAGCCTGTAGCTCAAGTCTCCCATTTCCCCACCAACCCCAACCTCCATTCACTTAGGAGCCCGCTGAACAGGTGTAAAGCACTGATAATCAATATCCACTCATTTCCTCTCCTAGACTTGGGGGCTGTAGATAGGACAGCCTGTTTTCACAGAGCTGTACTATTACCATAGTGAACATAGTGCTCTAAGAATTGTATATTAGACATGAAATATTTTGCACATCAGACTCAATCTTTAAAACCACTAGCATCTGCACTTGGCCAGTGAGACTGGCATTTCAGAAAAAAATTCAAGTCCATGTCTAGGCACCCACTGAATATGCCCTTATCTAGAAAGTTTTTTAAAATGTTGGAGATCTTTTCCTTGCATGGACATGGAGTATGGGTGGTCCAGCTTATACTCGGCGGCCTTTTTCAGCACAGATAAAATTCCAAGACAATAAAGATTTTGATCTGATTTAAGTTACTCTGTGCAAACAAGCTTGCATAGCAAATTAGTGCAGATAAACCTAGATGAAAATGGTCTTTGCACAAATAAATGTAACTATATTATGTTTCTCTGGCATAAAAATAGATCAGATGGTAGAGGACAAAAATAGGTGACATGGTAACATAAACTAACTTGTGTAATCAGAGGGTCAACTCTGACATTTTTCTCTCTAGGCCTTTTCCAATGGTCTTGTTGCTAGGGCTACAGTGTTTTTGCCAGATTGGAACAGAATTGTCAGCCCTAATGAAGATTAAGTAGCTTGCCCAACTAGATTTTTTTTTTTTTTAAATAAGCATCAGGGAATACTGCTGGCTTTAAAAGTCATAATTATTAAGAATGGAAAGATCTCTAAAGATCTGTTTTTAGAAAATAGAGCTAATAAAATTTGAAATTTAGTAACTTTCCATTTCAGTTATTACACAATAAACTTTTATCATAGTCACTTTGAACAAAATAACTTGAAATATAATTTCATATATTAAAAAAATAATAAATTGTTTATAAATTAAGCCAAAAATAAATTTCTTGAAGACTCTGAATAACCGAGGTTACTTAATGAACAATTCTTCTGATTAGTTGGAAAATTTTATTTCACAACTATTTACAAAATCACACCTGATTAATTTTTAGATGATATAAATAAAGTATAGGATAAAGTCCTCTGTCTTTTGGTTTTTCCCATTAACTGGTCAAAGTCATCTAATTATCTGAAGAAAGTGTAAATACAAAGTCACCCAATAGGACGTGATCAAGTTTTGCCAAGAGCAATAAAAAAACCAGTTTGTTCTAAACAATTGCTAAAAGATGTAAAAAGTAAGAGAAAAAGGGTGAGGAAACACTTTTTGATGTGCTCACTGAAGTCAGGAGCTTCCTTGGTTGGGGGCAGAAGGAAGAGATGACCTAATGTTCAAAAAACATAGCACGATTTGCATGCCCATTGAACCCCAATTCTATGTGTGCCCTGAACTATGAGAATTAAAAAAATCATGTAAAGAAAGTGCTTAGCATATAACAGATGCCAAGTGTTTTTTACCCCTGATGTATATTTTTATATTTTATATTTTTGTAGCAAGAAATTTCAGTGTTAACTTCCTATAAGAAAAGCTGAATATTATAGCCTTTAGAACCAAAAGAAAGTCACCATAATTTGAATAGTACTCCATCAGTGACATCTGGTGGAGAATATAGGAGTTACAATGCAGCATTAAAAAACTATTATGACCTTTCATGTTTATAATAAATTTAAGATAAATTTTACATACTAAGTAACTAAATGAAAATGGAAGGCAAAGAAAAAATGTCTATGAGGATACCCACCTTATTGTGTTAGTAACTTGAGTCTATATTCTAATATAGGAGGTTAATGAACATGAGAAACAGTGCATACTAATAACATTTTTTCAGTGTGCATGTTACATATAGTGAAAAAATGATTTAAAATAGAGGTATGGATTCATTATGCTATTCTAGGTCCCTTTTTAATATATCATATGCCAAAGAATCTCCTTTCCCAAAGTTTCAAAGTTCACTGTGGGGTGACTTAGGAATTTACCTCAAAAAAATAGCTGTGCTTCAGAGAATATGGACTCGAGACAAAATGAGAAATTTTGAGAAACTATGGATGGAGGCAACAAATGATGATGTTTTACAAGCAAGCCGTAAATATTATAAAATCAAGTGACTTAGCTGGGGAAGGGTTTGAATACTTGTGACCAAAAAACCAAACTGTGATCTATTACAGAATTGGCAAACAATTCTCGGGACAAGCCATCCATCCATCTGTTTTTTGTTACTGGAATATAGTCATGCTTGTTCATCTACTTAGTGTCTATGACTGCTTTCAAGCTACAACCACCAATTTGAATAGGTACACGAGACCTTATGCCTTCGAAGCCGGAACTACCTGGGAATTTACAGAAAGTTTGCCAGCCCCTACTTTCATCAGACATCCACAGCCCCTCCTCACCATCTCCATGGGAGATTGGCTTGGGAAGGGAAGTTCCTTTGGTCAGTGGAACAATGCAGAAATGTCAATATGAATGTTTTAAAGCTAAGCATTGACTCCTGGTTAGCCACTGCCCCTCCCACAGAATAAGATATATAGAAGAGAAACACCTCAGCTGACCTGCAGACTTGCATGACACAAAATGCTTAAACTGTTGATAGTCTATGGTTGTTTGCTATGAAGCAAAAGCCACCTAGTACAGGAGACTGTTATGCTTCCGTTTAAGCATTCCCACAAAAGGTTGACTTCTCTGATTGATGACACTGGGAGAAGGATCCCGAAGGCCTGGTATACAGTTCAGTCCCTTCTGGGCTCAACTGGAACCCATTTTCATTACTCCACCTATGGTAAGCAAAGCTGAGTCAGTCCAGGGAGGCCTAGAGGCCCACCAGACTCTTTGAATCTTATGAATAACTTCTCTTTATTTACCATGGTGTGGAAGCCAGTCACAATTGTTTCAACTGTTAGTTTAAATGTCTTCCTCCCGAGATGAGCCTCAAGGTGTAGAAAGAGGGTGAGACAAGTTCATTTGGAGTCATAGGCCAAAACTTTTCCAATGTAGCTTTACCAACAAAGCTCATAGCTTGGCTCCTACTCAACTCCAAAGTGTGCAATCTTAATTGAAACATAATCTGTAAGGGGTAAAAAAGACCATACCTGGCTCCTCAGAAAACTCACAAGAATAAACAGTAACATGTAAATGATACAAAATTCTAAGAATTTAACTGTTAATAATGTTAGCTGAGTTGAAATAACCAAAGTTACATGCAACCTTTACAAATGTGATTTCACAGAATTCTTAGTCTTATGTCTCAAGTTGTTAAAATGCAAACAAGGCTTTTCATTGCCACTTTTCTTGAAATCAAGTTGAGTAACATTAGTGGTCCATTTATTCCACAAAGATATGCAGAGTCCACAAATTTGCCACTGAGAACCTAGGAACTGCCCTCAGTTTTTGCTGTTTTCAAAGAGCCTAGCTAATGCACAATTAGTACTATAGAGTGAGTTGCAGGCAATAGAGTATATGGCAGAAGCTGCTACTATTGGGACTAACATTCAAATCCAGAGCATTAATTTCTGGACATAACTCTTAAAAGAAAAAGGGATCAGTACTATAATCACAAAAGTAGTAATATTAGGATCATATAGTTTGACAGATACAGACATAAATGACTGACATTTAAGAGTTATCAGCAGTATGTAAGAATATTGTGACTGGTGAGCTTTTTGGGGGGAAGAATCACATTTTATTATTCCCATTATTTAGCAAAGAGGCATTCAGTGTGTACTGAAGCAGTCGCGGTTCTCTGTATTTTCGAACGCATCTCCTAAAAAGACCAGGATTTACATCTCCATATTTTTACTGAGGCTCTAGTTCTGCTTTCCTTCTCAACCTGTATTTCAAATGTACAGGTTATGAACAGTCTAAGAATTTCAAATGAATGTTTAGTCTTAATAGTGTCCACTTTAAATACTATTACCTATTGTTTGGAAACCTAGACTTTGACCATACCTAATCCAAAATCAATTCCATTTGTCAAGAACCACTTATTTAGGAAAAGACTTATCGGTGACCCTTTCTAGCCACCTGGACCTCAGGTAGCTTCACAAACTCTTTAGGGAATGGGCTGTCATGACAGCATTCACTAGACTCATCATCAAATATTGGCATCTATTTTTCCAGCACCGAGAAAGAATGTAAGACATTGCTCTTTATTCTCTCACACAATTGAATCAAAGAGATATGATTCACCCAAGTGAAATAACAAAGACAAAGAAATACATAATTGAGTAAACTTGTTTCGTTACTTCAGTCCTTTACAGTATATTTTCCTTTCTCTTGTTAGGATTTCAAGCTTTAGAAAGGCCATGACTTGTTTCATTCATTCTGGCACCTGACACACAGCATTTGTCACAATACTATGTCTGTCATTTTTGAATGAATGGATACAGACTATGTGCATTTAGTAATAGTGAAGGCTCAGTAAGTTAATATATATAAAGAGCTTAGAACAGGGCCTAATACCAAGTGTTTAGCATTAATAAATTGAATAAAAAATGAGATAAGTTGTAGAATAAAGATTAGAAAAGACTTTTTAGAAGTCTGCCTTAAATTGACCTTGGAAAAACAGGTGAGAACTGAATAGAAGCATATATTTGATGACAGTATTGATGAACGCACAGGAATAAGCATGGTATTTAAATATATAAGGAAAACTAGGCTGACAGGAACTAGGCTGACAGGAACTAGGCCTAATGGTATAGAAAGGTCCCACATCCAACATTTGTTAAACTGAACTAACTCCAGGACATCTATCCTTTCACAATGATGAAGCAATAGATTTTTCTGAGTCTACTGCTGAGATGAAGGGGGTATAATCAAAGCTTACTCATCATTCAACATTGTATCCTTAGACACTATAACCTAAGAAGCAAGAGAAATAATTTGCTATACTGAATCCATTTTATCATTTAACTGTATTAATGCCACATATGTTATCAAAATATTTTAAGACAAATTTTAAAATATACAAATTTAACTTTATTTCCCCATTTTCATTTAAAGCTTGATTTTATAAAACTCACACAAAAAAATTTTTAAGAGTTCTGTATCACAGTAAATTAAACAGTAGAAATACCCATTGCTTCATGGGTTCAAGTTACATAAATTAAAATCAAATAATTGGAAATGTATTCAATATGGAAACTATACAATGAAATAAATGACAAAAGGATGTAACAGAGCAATATGTTATTACTTATGGATTATTAGTTATTTTTAGGATTTAAACGAAGATTCTGAATATTCGTACTTCTTTTGCTGTATTTTATATTTAAATTTCTCCCTACCTATATTGAGTCAAGCTACTTGACCAAAATGTCTGACTTGGGTAAGTACTTAGCTTCATAGCAAAAGTTCTTCCATCTACAGTTACCACCTTCAACAAAGTTAACATTACAGTTCTGACAAAAATCTGTTGGTTCCCTTTGAACAATGTGCAATGAATTCACTATGTCAACACTATGGTAAGTCAAAAAGGTACCAAAAAATGGAACAATTACACATAGTTCAGTAAAGTATAATGTTGGTTTTCCCCATCTAAAAATTAACCAATGAAATAAAACATTATCAACTATAGTTGACTTGGGTTCAGGAAAACCACATTTAAAAATTATATATTACATGATTTTCCTCATCTCATCCTTAGTCATTGACGGGAATTTTGTAGGCCACCATGCTGTTTACTTTGTGGATTGTAGTAGTAAATGAACGAAGACGGACTTCCTCAGAATTGGTAATGAACTGTGGTCCCGACTCTTCCCATTTTTCAGGTACAACCAAATCTTTGTCTGTATAAATCAGTAGATCAAATGAACCTAAATTGGGCATAAGACCATAAAAGTACATCATTTTTCACAATTAAAACTGCCCCCCCCCGTCTCTCTTGTATTTTGTTAACCCATTTTTAGAAAAGCTAGGTTAGCATGGTCTCTAATCAGTAGTTAATTTACTTATACTGTACCTTTCACAACTTTATCTTATGAAAAATTCAAGTTTGTTTTCTTTAACAAGAAAACCATTAAAAATATTTGAATAAGTATATCATCACATGAGAAAATATGAATATAAGCCTCAGGAAAACTTGTTTCTGTCACTGCTGTCTTTCAGTGTCTGGCATACAGTAGGTATCTGGTAAATACATTAGAATGAAGGAGTAAGCTCAAAAAAACAGACAATTACAACTACAGTCTTAATCACATACATAAAAAGGTGTAGAAAATAAAAATAGTGAAAGAAAGTACACCAAAATATTCAAGAGTGGGTAACTGTGAACTTTTTTTCTTTCCTTTCAGCATTTCCAAATTTTCTAGAATACATATGCAGTCATCCCCCCTTATCCATGGTTTCACTTCCTACAATTTCGGTTACCTGTGGTCAACCATGGTCTGAAAGTATTAAACGGAAAATTCCAGAAAAAAACAATTCATAAGTTTTAAATTGTGCGCCATTCTGAGTGACACGATGAAACTTCATGCCATCCCACCAGGGACATGAATCATTCCCTTTTCCAGCATATCCATACTGTATATACTGTTTATTAGTCCCTTAGTAGCCGTCCCGGTTATAGGATCAACTGTTGCGTTTACATGATAATTGTGTTAAAACAACCTGTATTTTACTTAAAAATGGCACCGAAGCACAATAGTGATGCTAGCATATTGTTATAATTGTTCTATTTTATTATTAGTTATTGTGTTAACTCTTACTGTAACTTATGAATTAAACTTTATCATAGGTATGTATACATAGGAAAAAACATAGTATGTACAGGATTCAGTATGAATCCTGGTTTCAGGCATTCCCTGGGGGGCCTCCCTGTCGATAAGGAAGGGGGCACTCCTGTATATCACTTTTCCTTTATTAAACTTTTCCCATTTATATTATATGATACTGATAATTAAGAAAAAATTAATAAAGGAGTGATTTTTAAAGCAGTAGCTCAGTCTTCTCCCCAATAAATTTAAGTCAATAAGAAGTTATATAATACTTACAAGAAACTTCCAACAGTGGCAGAAATGTCACTGTAGCTGTGATCTGTCTGATCACTGAACGGATTTCATCCTGGATAGCTTTCTGAGACTTTTCTCTGGGTGCACTGACAAAGAAATGAACTCAATTAATTCATTTTAGGTTTTAACAATTTATTTAAAACAGAGTGGTAATTTATCTGATTAAACACTCATAAAATCAAATAAGCAATGAATTAAAAAGGAGATTTTTAAAAAATATGAGTAAAAGTATCCTTAGGACCTATAACCTAGTAGGTACGACACTAGTCCTTATTATTTCATTTAACCTTCCAATCATCTTTTAGGGTTGGTCTTAGTATCAAGTCATTTATGACAGTATCAGATTGACTAGAAAATTTGTCAACTACTTTAAGTTAGGAAAACTTTATCTGTTAAAATAAAAACAACAAGTGATATCTAAAATATTTAATTAGTATAATCATTTTGGCACTTTTTGTAATGTCTAATTTCCTATTGCTGCAAAGAAAATAATAAATTGTATTCAAATTATTTTTATAAGCTAAAATATTTCCTAAAACAGACCAAAAGCTTCAGAAGCAAACTACACTTCATTATGAGAAATGGTTCTGCGTCTACAGAAAAGCATGCCCAGGATAATGCAAGGCACTGAAATGTAAAGATGGGCACTTCCCATCCAGAGAGTCTGGAACCTTCAAAAGTGTCTTAGGAAGTTCAGAGCATCAAATGAAGTACAGTAGAGGTGCACCTTAAGTTGTGTGAGAGTCTAAAATCATCCCTTATAGTTAAAAGCACCTTTGAACAATTCATTAAATGGTCCATCTAGTATATTATATACAGTTTGTTGTACATACCACCATAAATACTATAAAGTTAGAAATTCACTGATTTAGAATAAGGGCAATTATGTTAAAGGTATGCAATTATGTTAAAGGTTAAAGGGCAATTATGTTAAAGATATACAATGATTAAAGTGAGCACAATTCTTTTCTACAGGTGACTGATGATATCTTAGAAAACATACCCTAGAGACTATACTTGATATAAAACTAGTTCAATATAATCAGAACATTTAGTAATGAAAAATTTTGGAAAAAAATATTATCAAAGTGAAAGAATGTAATACTTACCTATCATCTTTTGCAGTCTTGTCACATTCAATATCAAACTGCCATCTTTCAAGGACCTCACCACTTTCAATATTTGATATAACTACAACCAGTTTCTGAACTGAACACTTGTATAGCCAATCTGCAACACATAACAAGGTATCGTTTTTGGTCTACTGCATTGCAAAGCAGCTCTTTTCTTAGATCTCACCTCCTGTCCTTAGAAAATTCATTCCTACCACTGGTATTTTGGACCTCCTCCAACATACAAATATACCTGCCCCATCAACAAACTAGATTCTGTTTTCAAACTCCGTATTTGTACCAGTTAGAGTACCTCAGTACTGGGTGCTGAGGACACAGTACTGAACATATGGTATTTCCATCCTAATTCCAAGGTAAGGGTATAGGAGTATGGGCATTAAACATCAAACCAATCAATAAGAAATAATTTGACCCACTTAGGGGTCAAATAGAGTTTAGCTATGGGGATCAACAGCATTAAATATGTAAAAGGAGAGGGAAGAAGGTGCAGGCCTTAACACTCAAAAGGGAAGAGCATATGACCAGAGGACTGAAAGGAGGCCAGTATAACTGCAATTAAGAAAGAAAGAATGAACAGGGTCATTCTGGCAAGATAGATAGGAGCCAGACCACGCAAAACCATGTGAGTAAATCCCAAACATTACACTTTAAGACCAGCATAGTCATCACCGAGTTTGAAGCAGGGCATGATGTAATTAGACTTAGGTTTCAAAACCATTTTGGCTGTGATGTGCAAAGTGTGCTAGAGCGGGTAGAGACTGGATCTAGGGACACTTGTCAATCAGTAATTCAAGCAAGAGTTAATGAAAGCTTGTAGGAGGATAAACTGGTAGAGATGGAACAGTAGACAGACGAGATTTCATGGTTAACATTGCTAAAATTTACTAGATTCACTATGGGAGCAAGAAAGAAGAACAATTCAGGGACAGCTCCCAAGTTTCTGACTTGTATTTCTGGTCTGATGGTTGAGCCATTCATTAAAAGGAAAGAGAACTGAAAGAGTCCCAATTGGAGATGATTCTAAATTTAGTTTTTGTATGCTTGAGTATAAAGATATAGCTGCTGGATGGATACATGGGTCTGGAGTAAGGAAAGAGTTGGATACTGAGTCGACTACACAAATGTTAGTAAAGCTAAGTCAGAGACCACCTATAGAGAAAGTATAAAGAGAGAAGAGGGTCTCAGATTGAGCTTTGAATTAATCCTGGAAATTGGTACAGTATACTCAGGAGTCAGCAAAGTTTTTAAATTAAAGAAACAGCAATTTAGCAATATTTAGTAAATATTTAAGGCTTATGAGACACCAAGATCTCTGCTGCATGTTGTTTTTTATTTTTTTGAGGCAGAGTCTCATTCTGCTGCCTAGGCTAGAGTGCGTGGCATCAGCCTTGCTAACAGCAACCTCAAAATCCTGGGCTCAAGCAGTTCTCCTGCCTCAGCCTCTCAAGTAGCTGGAACTACAGGAAATGCCACCATGCTCCGCTAGTTTTTTCTATTTTTAGTAGAGACATGGTCTCACTCTTGATCAGGCTGGACTCCAACTCCTGACCTCAAGCAATTGTCCCGTCTGTCTTGGCCTCCCAGAGTGCTAGGATTACAGGTGAGCCACCATCTGCTCCAAGTTGTTTTTTTTTTGAGACAGAGTCTCGCTTGTTGCCCAGGCTATAGTGAGTGCCGTGGCGTCAGCCTAGCTCACAGCAACCTCAAACTCCTGGGCTCAAGTGATCCTCCTGCCTCAGCCTCCCGAGTAGCTGGGACTACAGGCATGTGCCACCATGCCCAGCTAATTTATATATATTAGTTGGCCAATTAATTTCTTTCTATTTATAGTAGAGACGGGGTCTCGCTCTTGCTCAGGCTGGTTTCGAACTCCTGACCTTGAGCAATCCGCCCCTCCCAGAGTGCTAGGATTACAGGCGTGAGCCACAGCGCCTGGCCTTCAAGTTGGTTTTTAAACAACCCTTTCAAATGTAAAACATTCTTAAATTGTGGGCAGTACAAAAACAGGCCACGTGTTGGATTTGGCCTGTGGGCCTTGCAACCCAAGGCATATATCAACAATGTTTTATTAGTTTCTCTCTGAAAAGGAAGTGATTGGATGGTAATCTGAAGCAGATTTGGGGTAGGTGGTAATTTGTTCTTCTTTTAAAATTGGAAAGATGAAACTGATGGGAATAATTAAAATCAAAACAGAGAAGCAGAAAATATAGGAGGGAAGAAATAGGATAAAGACCCTAAAAAGCTACAGAAACTAAGATTCAGAAAAGAAGGAGCAATTTGCCTCTAGGGAAAAGCAATTCCACCAATTTAACTAAAATAAAAGGGAGAGGTTAAATAGCAAGATCCAGATACACATATCTGTAAAATATCATCAGTGTGGTCTCAAAGGTGGCAACCCAAAAAACCATTGGCTTAGGCAAGGCTTGCTGCTTCTAGCATATTAAGATGAAGACATAGACCTAGGCCTAGACATAGATCATTGACCTAGGCCAAATGATCTGAGTGCAGCCCTGTGAATGGGTGTGGATGGTTTAGTCCTGACCCCCAGTTCTGGATGCAACTCTGGGAGAAGTAGACTGCTCCTATCGCTGTATTACATGTTTGCACTTGAGAACAGACTTCTCATCTTGCTATTCTGACAGCATCAACCTACTAGAGACGTTTACAACCAAGAGTACTTCTGTTCCCCCATTAGGCAATATATGGAAACATTTCTGGTTGTTTGAGCTAGGGGTTATGATACTGGCATCTGGGGGACAGAGGCCAAGGATGTTGCTAAATATCCTGTAATATACAGAAAACCACCCACGCCAAAGAATCATACAACATATAAGCTAGAATGTCAACAGTACTGAGGTTGAGAAACCCTGTACTAGAGAATCTTTCCTAGAACCCTGTCTTTCTTTCACTGTCAATCTTGAGACTTGATGTACACAAATGTTGAAGGATTCCACTCCTGTAGACAGAATGGCAGGGTAATGTTAACAACTTATTTATAGGATAATGTAGTTTGAAAGAGAGGTGTAAAGCTAACAAAGTTAATATGGCCATCAACAGAAGGGCATATTAAAATAGAAGTTAACAAAAATGTAATGAAGCTACATCTGAAACAAAAATTGTGAGCAAAAAAAAAAAATGATTTCTAAATCCAAAAATTCAAAAAAAAAAAAGATAGCCACTGTAATACTTATTGGAACTACTATTTTGGAAGATCAAATGGGGAGAAACATTTGATCATTTGAAAAATCAGAAAAATGTGAAAAAAAAAAACAAACTAAGAAAAACTATAAGAAGCTATAAGAATTTTAGAAGGGAAAAAAGAAACAGATGGAGAATAAGTATTCATCCAACAGGTCATACAGCAGTTTCTTGAGCTAAGGGAAAAAAATGAGTGTTTATATAGAAAAGGCTTACTGAATGACAGGCAGAATATTTAAAAAAGACAAATGGATACAGGTGAAAAACAAGGAAAGTCTGCTAAGTGTTATGTTGTTTTGCAGTTACTCTTTTTTGCTTTTTGAAGTTTAGTTCCCTAGTTGAATCCAATTTTATTTTCTCTGATCTTAATTTAATGACATTAGACTCCAAACAGTCACAGAAAACTAATACATCATATTAAGAACATGTAGCGTATATTTTTTCAAATAATGAACACGATCATAATTATATAAAATTCCAACTTGTTCCATATGGCTACATTAACTGTAAAAGCCATTTCTAAAGGAGTTAGTTGATGGAGACTTTTTTGTTAAGCCTTATCAGATTCCTAACATCAAAATATTCAGGCCACTCAAAATGTAGTGGAGGCTATAATTTCTTTCTATATATGTTACTTACTTCCTCCCAGGTGAGAATCACTGTATTTGAGATGGTAGTATGTTTTACACCTCTATGTAGAGCAGAGAAATGACCATTTGAAGATGCTAGAAAAATGCAGATCCTAGAAGGTGTGCAAAACTCAAATTGTTTACAATTAATAAATACCTTTTAGTTGTTCCACCACGTTGTTTAGATATTTTATGAGCTCCAGATCAGTAGTTACAAGCAAGGTGAGTCCATATTTCTGCACTCGAGTAAAGGTTTCAGATGGATATATGCCACGCTGATATAAAATGCTGTTGATGCCAAATGCTGAAAGCAAAAGAAATGTTATAGAAAAGTCATCATCACTTTGGAACTCTAGAAAATAAAATATATTTAGATGTGGTTATAGTTTCATTAACGGAATACAGTAGTAAATGACTAAACACATAGGTTTGTGTGTTTTGCTCAAAGCAGAGTAGGTACAAGCTGGCATTTAAAAAAACCTTAAACTCTTGCTTCTAAGTAAAAGAGATAACTGCATTTACGTGGCAACAAAAGAAAAACGCCAAAGTGCATTAGCCATTGCCAAATTTCACCTCCGTGTAATACAAGCCCAAATTCAGATTATGTGCTTAGCGGATATCAAAGTAGGCTTTCGCATCCAAGTCGGCACCTGACTGACTTGTCCATGCCCCAGGCAAGCCTCTCCTTCCCTTTTTCCTCCTTTTCTCTACACATATCCTGCCAGGTTCCATAAAACGTACAGCTAGTCTGGTGGGGAACGGGGCTTCCCAAACCCTTGTACACCACGAGCCTCGGAGTCACCTGGAGTGCGGTCCTGGTAAACATCCACACCGCGGCCGACCTCGGTCGCACCACGTCCCGAGTCTCGGGAAGTGGGGGTGGAGATCTGCACTTTGATCAGGACCTGTGCTCCGGGAAGGGCTGCGCGGCAGGCAGGCCTCAGCGGCACCCGGGCCCCGCTCCGTCTCCAGAGCGCGACGGGAGGCGCCGCCGCACCCGCCTCTTCCCAGACGCCCCGCGCGGCGCCGGGGGGCCGGGCGGCGACGGCTCCCGGTCTCGGAGGCCCCGCCACGGGCCCGCGGGCGCCCGGCCTCGCTTCCCCCACCCGGCCGCCCGCGCGCGGACTCACAGAAGAACTCGGCCACGATTTCGGCGCTCCCGCGCAGGGTGATGCCCTGCTCCCGGGCGAGCTGCAGCGCCATGGCCAGGCCCACGGACGAAGGCACGCGCGCGCAGCCGGCAGACAGCGACCTCGGCGGCTCCCGCGGCAGTTCCCCGCCAGGCGTTTCAAAAGTAACGACGCAGCGCGCCGTCCGGCCCAGTACGCAGGCGCGAGGAGCCCCTAAGCCCCGCCCCCACGGCGGGGGCCTGCCCTTTGCCTCTTGCTCCTACACGCTAGTGGAACGCCGATTTGCGCAGGCGCAGTTGGGGGATGCGGCCGCGCTCTTCCGGGTCGTAGCGGTCCAGAGAAGGGAGCCTGTTGGGAGGCGGCCTCGGGGCGTCATCTACTAGATGGGGCCGAGGAGAGGAGATGGACGGTCCCGATTTAGTGTTAGTTCCCCAGGACTGGGCGATCAAGGAGCATAATTTCTGAGTTTCAAAGATACTCTCAAACCGGTATGAACTGTTCGCCAGTCCCGCCTGAAGTCGCCCCAGCGGTCCTTCATGGGCGGTCGGAACTTTGCCAGATGCTTTGGGAATTCAGGAAACGTCTGCGTGGGCTGCAGCCACGCACAGCTTTAGGGGATCTGATTTCTGTGTGTGAACTCGGCTTTTTTTGAGAAATTGGGTTAAGGAATTAAAGGGACAAGCCGCAAACGCTTTTCTGTCCCCTGTCCACGTCTGTCCTGGGTTTAGGGCCCCCTTCAGAGGCGGGGTAGAGTCTGGGGCGGCGGGGGGCTCCTCCTGGTCCAGGTGCTTCTGTCCACCCTGCCCACCCTTAGGCGGCTGGCCAGGAGCACGGCCACCTCACTGGTAAGGCCCATCAACGTTGAAGAATTGTTCAGTGGGTTGTGACTCACAAATTCAGTGACTTTTAAGGAGATAGTGCACAATTAATGTTCACGTCCATTGTGAGGGGATTTTATTCTTAAAGCAGCTTGGAAAATTATTGTAAAATGAAGCCTGAAAAGCTTTGATATTTACCGGACATACTGTTATTTAATTATATGAGAAATACCTGAGTGTGTTATTAATAGTTTTATATTGCTGTGTAACAAATAATCACAAATCAATGGCTTAAAAACAACACCCATTTATTATCTTGATCCTGTAGGTCAGAAGTCTGGGCATATCATAGGTGAATGTTCTGCTCTGAGTCACACAGGGATAAAAATCAAAAAGTCTGCAAGTGGGATCTGATCTGGGGTTTGTGGTCCTCTTCTAAGCTCCCTGGTTGGTCCCTGTTATCTTGCCAGCTGTTGGCCAGAGGCCAATCTTACATGTTTGCCACATAGCCCTTCCAAAAGCCTTCTCACACGTCCAGTCTCTGACTTTTTTAAAAAAAAAATTTGATCCCCCCCCCAAGTCTGTGACATGTTTACATCTTTCTTAAATGTTGATGTATTAAATTTTTTGACCCCTCAGACCATATAAGGACCTATTCTTAAGTATTCTCATAGCATTTCATAGTACTACTTCAGACCATTTCTTTCACTGTAAATAATTATGTAATGTTTTGTATTATACCTTTCCTGCATCAAAAATAAAATCATATCAAGTTGGGATAAATCTGAAAGTTTGTTATCAAGCAAAAATTATAGGTCGCAATCCAGGAGACTTCAAACCAAGTGGTAGAGGGTGGTAAGAAGCTTGCCAAACAGCAGTTATGGCACAGTTTATAAAATATGAAGGAGGAAGTATTTTGATCTTTTTCATGATTGGTGTTCTACATTAAATGTTTTTTGTTTTGGTTTGGTGGGGGTTTTTTTAGGGCAAACAGACCTGTTTTAAGTTGCTTTGTCTGAGCTGATTGGCTTGATTTCAATGAGTCATACAGACAAAAATGTAAAGCTTATGTTTTGTGTTTATGAGTGGAGATAGTGTTTCAGGAAATCAGGATGAGTTAATTTTTGGTTATGTGGTTATGGGCAGTTGGCCTTGGGCTATCTAAACTCTGACCTCCATTTTTAATCCGTGATGGGTTTAGTGGGTTCTTTACAAATATTTGTTGAATGAATGAGCATTTGAATATTCGCCTAGAGGAACTTTATGGAAGAACCTAAAACATTTTCTAATTAGAAAGCCAGTTGGATGGATGAATGAGGTCACTTTTAGGGAAGTTTGAGTACCCACTGAGTTGATTGGAAGTACCAGGGATTTCTAGGTTCTTAGGATTGACATAGTTAAAGGGGCATTCTTTTTCAAATGTGAATTCAATAATGGTGGTAGACTGGATTGTTTACAGGACAGTCTAACCTGGTGGTCCTCAAACTCAAACTCCAGTGTGTTAGAAGAATTATCTGGATATTTTGCAAATTCCTGGCTTTTATTTTCCCTTCCCCAAGGCTGGTTCAGTCCAATTTAATAATCACTAACCATGGGCGACAGAAAAGCACTTGAAATATGCTGGTCTCAGCTGATAACATGCTGCAAGTATAAAATAGGAGATATCAAAGACTTAGTATTAAAAAAATGAATGTAAAGTATCACATTAATATGTTTTTCAATTGATTACATATTGAAATGCTATTTTACATGCATTGGATTAAATGTATTATTAAAATAATTTTACTCATTTCTTTTCAGTTTTTCTTTTTATTGTGACTACCAGGACATTTAAAATTACATATGTGAATCATGTCTTATTTCTATTGGACAGTGCTGGTCGACATTGTGGGTTCTAAGGGGTGACTTGTTTTAACCAGCATCCCAAATGATTCTGCTGCGAATCCTTAGACCACTCTTTGAAAAGCAATCGACTATGATGGATATTTTAACATACCAGGCTGGGAAGTCGAAAGCCTGGACTAAATGGGGCCAGAGAGGTTGAATAAGAAGGAACACATAAGGGAAAGATATTTTGAAACTAGAGTTGATGGCTAATATGGAAGAATGTACATTTATCTTTATAGAGTGTTTCTTTTTTAATATACTATAATTTAATTAGCATTTCCCTGATTTGGTGTACATGATGATTGCTTCTAATATTTCATTGGTATAAAATAAGCCAAAGCAATTCCACTTCTGGGTATATACCCCCAAAAATTGAAAGCAGGGACTCAGAACAGATATTTGTATACTTATGTTCATAGCAGCATCATTCACAATAGCCAAAAGGTGGAAACAACCCAAACATCCATGGATGGATGAATGAATTTAAAAAAAAAATGTGTACATGCAATGGAATATTATTTGACCTTAAAAAGGAACAACATTCTGACACATGCTACAACATGGATGAATCTTAAAAACATTATGCTAAGTGAAATAAGCCAGGCACAAAAGGACAAATATTCTTTGATTTTACTTACATAGAGTACCTTGAATAGTCAAATTTATACAGACAGAAAGTAAAATAGTGGTTACCAGGAGCTGGTGGGAGTAGGAGAGGCAGGAATGGAGAGTATTTGTTTAATGGGCACAGGGTTTATGTTAGGGGTAGTAGTGATGGCTACATAGTAAGGTGAATATATGTCATGCCTGTGAACTGTACACTTACAAATGGTTAAAATGGTAAATTTTAAATGTGTATATTTTGTCAAAATTTGAAAAAAATATAAACTGGGATGACTTCCTGATACATATAGACAGTGTCCTGCCATATAATTCAGTTTTCCCAGAATTTGGGTTTTGTCCTTGTTCTAGAATCTAGAAGGAGTCTTACTGGATTAAAGTTCATAGTATTTTCTGGCATTTATTAAGTATCACCAAATTACTTTGTGAAAACAATTGTGTAGTTTTACAGCTCTTCTAATGTACATATAGAAGAGAAGTACTGACCTCATCTACACCCTGACCCTCATCCCTAACTAAAGGAAAGAAAATAATTTTAATAATTCATAGTCCTAGTGAAGATGCAAACACTGAGCTTTAGGACACACATTCAATGATAAGAAAAATGGGTGACTTGCTTTAATATGCATTTTTTCATTACTAGTGAGGTCTAAACTCTTGGTATTTTTTTTTTTTTTTTTTTGCTAGATGTATTTCCTATTTTGTGGATTCTCTGGTTTCTGGAAGCATCTTAAAATTCATATATCACTTTGTTTAAGGTAGTTTAGTAACATACATACACAACGACAGGATATTTTAGAAGTGAGGAAAATTGGACCAAACCAGAAATAATGGTAGAAAATAAAATGAAGACAGAGTACGTTATTACCTATTAAATTTGACAAGGGATGTGGTGAGAGGAAGGCAACACATGTGTCTATGAGTTTTCTGGAAGAGAGGGGAACAAGATCCATAACTTCTTGAGCTAAGCCAACTCATAGTAGTAACTAATGTAGTGACACGTTATTTTCAGTTACATGAGTTTACTTTTCTTCACAATTCAATGAAATCTTTTTAATGTATATTGTTTAGGGGAAGTCTAGATAGAAGTATAAATAATGTTTTCTGAAGAAAATTCAAACAGCGCATAACCAAACTCATATTAATAAAAGAGATAACCACAAAAGTGCATCATAAACAAGCCTATATTTCATATTAGGGTGCTAAAAACAGAAATACTCATAAAATTGTCTAAAGTTGGGATCAAATGAAATTTTAGAATGAAAGTGACTTAATTAATGGCTTAGTTATACAATCTTACAGATAATGAAACTGAGGTCCAGAGTTGGTCTAAGATTCAATGTCTATTAAATAGTGGAATTTTTAGTAGAAAATCTAGGGTTTCTGATTTAGTCTTTTAAATTATATCTATTTGAAAACATGTTGAAAATACTCTTTAAAAGATTATTTTGAAAAAAATTAATAGATTTTAGGTTAAGGATTTTTACTCAATAATCTGTACACTAACTTGTCAAAAAAAAATGGCAGTTACAAACCATAATGAATTTTATGTAGATATACAAATAATTCCAACTGCCAGAAGATGGCACTGTTTACATGTGAAATAATACATTTTAAGAATTTAGTACCAGGCTCTGTGCTTTAGTTCAAGATAACATGCAAGAAAATGAATTTAGTAGTTTCTAAGGTAGTCATAATGAGGAATACTTCAGAATGAAATATTGACTCATAGTATATTACAGAACTGATAATCCTTTTAAACATTCAGTATATGTATACACATACATACACCCATATACTAAAAACATATATACAGGTTGAACATCCCTAATCTGAAAATCCAAAATGCTCTAAAATCTGAAATTTTTGAGCACTGACATGAGGCT